TAGCGCGCGCCCTCCAAGGAACAAAACTCAATCGCTTCATTGATAGTTAGAGACTTAGAGTCCTCAGCCCCCTGACCAATGGATGCACCTTTTAATTTTATTTTTAGAGAAAATTACATATAGGCACTATTGGGGAGGTCAACTACTAAATGGGCAATCATTTATCCAAAATTACAAGCACCATCCTTTCCCCGTTTTTTTTCAAAGAAAAAGAATTGTGTGGAGTTTGAATTATCAGACAACTTCAAGTTTTTCCAGTTGGTTGTTGTCCGGTATTCAAAATATCATACAGTTGTGTAGGGTTTTTCTAAAACCACTTTGCCGCTTCATTTCGCTTCTCTCTCGCTCTTTTCTAGAGGGGTGACGGGATAGCTCGGTGCTCAGGTCGATAGTATGTAAAGAAACAAAATAACGAATAATTGAAAAAGTGATTGACGAATGGATCCAAAGTTAAGAGAAATAAAGGGTTTTTTAATTGATGATGAAGACCTTTAAGGATAGGATTTAACTCTTACCTCTCTGAAAGATCATTTTCTGGCAGGAATTTGAAGGGAAAAAAAATTCAGAAAATGGGTTTTAAGAAGAATATTTTGAACAAAGTAACCAGAGTACTTCTTTTTCTTTTGAGAGAGAAAACGGAGTAATTTTTAGAGAAAGAAAGGGATTTAGCGATTTGGTTATGGACCTCTGCTGACCTCTTTTGTCGCGAACTTTTCCAGCGAGACAATTTCCAGTGAGAAAATGACCGGAATTGCCGCCGTCTTCGGATGGGACCAATTTTCTGGTGGTCCTTTACGCAACTGCAACATCTTCCGACACAATTTTCAGTCCTCATTTTGACTTCCGTTTTTTGGGGGGCCATTTTCCAGGGGGTGCCTAGTCTTTCCAGCTACTCTCTTGCCCCCAAATCTCAACAAATTTTTGCCGTAATTTTTCTTTCCAACGAAGACTTATTTCTTCTCTCGTTTCGCCCCCATATGAAACCTCCATACAGCTGGTATTTCAAACACCCGATAACTCTTTTATTTAAAAAAAAATAACCCTTTTCTTTTTTAGCATTCACATTTTGGGACAAGAAGGCAACTTCGAGAAAAACAAACTTTCGGAGGGGGTTGCTCATAATTTCAGAAAGAGTGCCTATTTCGTAATTGAGCCCAATAATATCCATACATAATTTGTTTTTATATTTATATTTATTTAGTTATAGGTAGGCTTTATATTTGGGGATTGTTTATAAAGAGATCATATATCTTTTGTACAAGGAGGTCACATTCATTGTCACTCATTAGATGTCAAATTGGATAGCTTGGAGTGAGTCACGAAGTTGAAAATTTTTTTATTGAAACTTTGTGTCTAATCAATAACACTCTTACAACCATCCATTTTGAAATTTAGGAGACAATAATGATTGAGACCTTCGTGTAAATGGCCTCCTGCAGACAATCTCTTCTAATCGTTTACACAACTTATTCATCATAGCTATTATGTATTGGGTTTTTCAAAATTTTATTGGCTGTTTTGTTTAAAAATTATTTCTACCAAATTTGAAGAAATGATATATGGAAGAGCATTAGAACTATAATAATAAATATTAATTATTCATTAGAATATTATTTTACATATTGCGCCATTCTTCATTTTATTCTAGGGAGAGAGATAGATGGGGGAAGCCTACGAATGATCCTTAAGATAACACCTAACACTAAGCCTATAAAACGCCCTTATGGAGAGCACATGCAGGGGTAAGTTGACCCAGGGTTTTGAAAATGGACACAGTTTTGATGAGCTAGCCCGCTCACCAAAATAGGCGTGGCTCCCATATTAAAGATGGATGTACAAAAAAAATGCTTTCACTGTATGTAAAAATTGATGGCAGGAAAATATATTAAAAAATATAACTTCTAGTTTTCAAAAATAAAAAATTTCTATATACATAAGGGTGCAGATTATATAAAGCCGAGGCTATAAACAATCAAAGTAAAGCACACTTTCAAATAGTGTTGAAAATGCGGTTTCAATACTGCAAATCTTTGTGATAGCTTTAAAATATGTTTTCCTCTAATTATAAAATGGAAAAATTTCGTATAGAACCCTATTTCCTCATATTATTTCATGGTAGACCCTCTTTTTGTTTTTCTTTCATGCAGCATAATGAAATTCGTAAGGATTTTACTCGTACCTTCTCATCTCTTATCTCTCTCTTTTGTTGACTTTTGATCATAAAAATTAGCCCAATACCATTTCATCTCAAAAAAAATTTAACCATCTTTTTCCTATTCCACTTATTAAAAAACATTTTGGGTTGAAATAATATTAAAAGATTTGTTGAAGCTAATTTTTATGATCAAAAGTCAATAAAATAGGGAGATAAGGGATGAGGGGATATGGTGAAATCTCTAAGGGTTTTCTTATGCGGCTTGAAAGCAAAAGGGAAGGAGGGTCTACTATGAAATAATATGAGGAATTACGATTCTATACGAAATTTTCCCTTATAAAATTTAAAGCTTCAAAAATAGTGTAGATCGAGTAGATCTATGAAAACTTGAAAATCTTGAAAGTTGAGGGATAAAAAATGCATTACAAGATATATTATTTTCAAAACTTGAAATCCATTTTTTTATCATGTTCATGCATTTTGAGGCCGAGATGATCAATTTGAGGAAATTTGAGGATCGAAATAACCTCTTCTAGTAAAATTTTTAAGGTGAACCCTAATTTGACTGTTCAGAGCCTCATACTTTTATAAGCTTTTTCCTATATATAATAACCATGATAGGTGAGATTAACAAATCTCAAATATTTGCATAAAAAATCCATCTTTAATATGGAATTTTAAAAAAGATTGTAGGGTCCTCGAGAACCCCTTGAATAAAGAGCTTACAAAACTGCCTGAGCCTTGGGGCCCCTAACCGAGAGCCAGGGCCTCGATTAGAGCTTTGATTGAATGAATGAACCCTTATTTTCCTTTGAGAAGAAAGCTTATCTAATTTTGAATGAAATGATTAAAGAGAACTCTAAGATCTAAGTTTTAAAGCCTTAGGGTATTGAAAGAATGTATGATTTCTTTGGGAGATGGATGATCATGGTTGCTAGGAAACTAGGGTTTTGGGCTCTTAAAGAACGAAGGATTAGGGTTTCTAAAGAATTAGTATTAGGGTTTTGGTCAGCTTAGGGCGAGGATCTTAATTCTATGTAACTACCCTTAGTGGGTAAAAAATGAGGGTTTATATAGACAACTCGATATGAGAATTTAAAAGGATTTCAAGTTTTGAAAATAATATAAACCCTCATTTTTTACCCGCTATGTGGAACAGAGTTTAGAGCTTGTACGCCAAAAATTGTGTTGCAAACAGCTAACAGACTTTGGATGATGTAAATCTTCTCGGATTTTTTATTTTGATGATATGTTCTTTCCACATTTGATCAAAATTACATGGTCTATCGGTTTTTTACATATTTTCTTTTTTAGCAAGAACCTCTATTTTCTGAAGTTTTGGTTTACTGTGGCAGAACTCTTTGGGATCTAGGGAACATCTAGGGATTTTTTAATGGATTGTGGTCTGGATGACTATCACCTATGATGGCACAAAGTATATTAAGCTAGTGTGATCCCAAGGGATTAAATGGTTTATTCTAAGGCTTTTTCCTATACTTTTAGGGGGTCATTTCAATGCCTTAAGATATTGGAATTCAAAGATAATTGTCGATTTGCAATTGGATGTTCACATAACCGTAAAAATAGTTCATCAACTAACATAAAATTTGGATACCCCACTTCCAAGCTTTTCAGGTCCTAAGACACCAACTATCATGTTTAATTAATAGCATTCCACTGCTAGAGGTGCGAGTAGGGGCATACTAAATATATTCTAAGTAATGTCAGTGATGGATCACATGCATGTGTCTCATACATTTCCTGTGCTCTGCCTATGCTCTCTCTCTCTCATAGAAACCAATGATGTAGGCGCGTCTACCATGGTCCTATAGGAGATAGGTGTATATCCACGCCATCAGTCAGAAGACCTATTTAAAAGGATTTTTTTAGAACCCCTTAAGAATTGATTATTCTCAGAAGTAAAAGTTGAAGTTCACCACTTAAATCTCAACCTCTAAAACTTGGAGTGTCTCTATTCAATCTTGAGACAATATTTTCTTTCAAGTGTATAGATGGTCAAATTGGGGAATTTTTTCTCTATTGAGGTCTATCCGTTGAAGAGGTTATATCTCCAAAATTTGAGTCCTGAAATTTGTCCTAGAGAGGGTTTTACCCGAGGAAGTAAATGTACACTATACTCTAGAGGGATTATAGCATCTTTCGGTTTCTCATATTTAACCATTACTTTATTTTCTTCTTTCATCAAGGTGACAAGAATCTCCAATTCTCTCAAAAAATAAGATAAAACTGACTTTTCCAAATACTATAGTTCAAAAGACATTATTTTGAAGGGTATATAAGGTAGCAACTTAACTCGTGAAAGTAAAATTGCAATGTTTTATACCATCCATATTAGTTACAGTGTAGATTCACGTTTCTAAGATATTGTCAAAATGTAGCATGTTTTTTATGATCATACAAAGTCTACACACCATTCAAATAAATTCGATTGTGTAAATTCATGTAACCTTACTTCTATAAGTAAGGATGCATTCTTATATTAACTTTTTCCTATTTTAAAATAATACATAGTATTTTCTATAGCAAAAATACAACATTAAATCTAATTGTCCTTCAATTGGACAATTTAGTCTTTCAAAGTAAATATTCTAGGGGAACTTGATTTGGAATTTTATTTTGAGTTCCAAGATGATTTTTTACTGTTCCTTAAGGATGAGTAAACAAGAAGAGAAAATTTCTAGATAAGGGAAACTGTATTTTGTTGTAATTTCCTTATGATTATAATAAATTTAAGTAATCTTTCAAGAAATTGTTTTTCATATCCTCTTGTACCTCTGTTATTTAGTAAAAATATAGCCAATTTGTATTAAATGAGACTCTCAAATTGTTGCTGCAATCTCTATTCTACCTTCGAACACTATATAATTAGGCAAAGGCACACTACCATTGAAAACAATTGTCAAGTACGGGACTTGAAACCCTGATTTTCGCTAAATGCACTCACCATATGGAACCAAATATGCTGTAGAATATTGACAACCATGTTACCAATAGCACCAAACTCAATGTGGTTCAGGATACTATGCCTTATAAGGCCCTTGAAATATTCACTCTGCAAAATACTTGAAGTGGTCAAGGACTGTTTTCCCCTTGAGTTCCTGGCTAAAAAACCTGTCAAAGAACTCCTCAAATGTGTAACTCCTGTAAATTGCAGGGCTTTCTTTGCTCACTAATTCATTGGCTGGCCCAATTAATGCATCCAGAGAGGGACCATAAAATGTTGGTATTGAAATTCGAGAGGTTCTAGAATTCGTAATCGCACGGTGTTCCACGCTTTTGAACCTCCCATTGCTGATAACCTAAACCATTCACACCAACACATAAAGCTCTCTATTTTTTGTATGGTAAAGCACATGATAGCATAGAACATTAAAGATCTAGAAAGTCAAAGACTGTAAAAGATATAGAAAACTAAAAAGAACCAGTGAAGACATTCGAGTCTCCATAGGGCATACTCCTTTGGGAGGGGGGCGCATAATGTAGTAATGGACATCTACTCCCTCAGCTAGGACACATATTTGGTGGGTTTTCTCAACATGAAGCTTTAGAATCAACTTAAGAAATTAGAATCACTAGATCAGTATTAAAAATAAATAAAAAAATAAAAAAAGTTCTTATACAGTCCAAAATTTGAATGGATTGCGTATACTATGCGCCCGAGGGAGTATACTAGTCCGTCGATCAGATGACCTACTTGAGTATTTTTACAATCTGAATTTTTGGGAACTACCTAAGAATCACCGGATGATTATTTACAAAAGAAACAATTTAAAATTTGAGTTTTCTAATATTTAGATCTCAACCTCTAAATATTGGATGGTTGCTACTCAATCTTGAGATATAATCCTTTTCAAGTGTTTAGAGGGTGCAATTAAAAAATATTTATTGTTGAGGTTAATATATGTGTTAAAGAGGTTATATCTCCAAAATTTGGAGGCCTAGGTTGGGTTTTATATGAGGAAGTAAATGAACAGTATACTTCCGAGGAAGTAGAATATCATTTGGGATTTGAACGATCTCATATCAATCCTAAGAAACTTTCTAAAACTTGCAGTCCTAAAACTTTCGTACGTTTTAATCAAGGGAATGAATCTGCGATATGCTCTTACGGGTGTGCATATAATCTTTTTGAAATATTCAATTGCCAAGTAATAACTATATATAAAATCATATCACCATGACCCTTATATGTCTAATGGAAATAGTTGGAGTGTGTTGTTGTACCGCTCAAAGAAAATCAAAACCATGAGCTGGAAGAACGGCATACCCCAACCGTCCAGGATTAACATCTGATTGTCGAGATGACATTTATTTTCCTACAGTGGACTCTTAGAAATTGTACATGGACTGCTAAAAACATGGACTCATTAATGGCCATTTTTCTATTTTTTGGAAATAAAGATGCTTTTTAAATTGGATCCATGAAGCACGTAAGGTTGTAATATAACAATTTTTTATTCACAGTAGGAATGCCTAGCTAGTCAGAGTGGCAAGGCACCATAACATGACGTCTTGAATTCCAATCCTACTATAAGTAACAGTCCCATTTCTCGTTAAATTACCCCCCAAAAGCAAAAGGTCGTAGTTATTATAAACAATGTGAGCCTAATATTGACTTATGTGAATACTTCGTAACTCCTTGTATAAAATTAACACAATCTGATTAATTCATATACAAAAGAAATTAATGACATTTAGTTAGTACAAAAAATGTGAGACTAGTATTGACATACGTGAACACTTTGAAACTCAATGTTTAAAAAGAGCATATGATTTGTAATATGGGCTGCATTTTAAGTATCATAAGAAGAGCTCAGTTATTATAAAGGTAAAATAGGCTGTATTATAAGAATCATGAGCAGAGCTCAGAATCGTACCTGCAATTGATCGGCTAGATTAACCACCAAAGCATTTTTCTCCGGTTTCACGATGATCCATTTTCCATCTTTGAGCACTTGCAATCCTCCTACTTCATCTTGCAAAAGAACTGTAATGCCATTCGGATCAGAATGGCCAGGCAACCCAAGTGTTAGGTTGGGATCTGGACATGAAGGATAGTAATTTGTCAACAGTGTTTGGTAATGCTTGCCAAATTTCTCATTCAAATAACCAGAATCAAGTCCAAGTCCTTCAGATAATAGAGCCAAGAGCTTTAGTATCAATGCCCTTATCTCAAGAGCATACTTACTAGCTACCTCCCTACAAGAAGAGGTCTCCACTGTGTCAGATAAGCTTCAAAAAAAAAAACCAAAAAGAAGCTAATATGAGACCAGGCCAATATCGGCACTTTGTCGAAATGGATTTGGTCTTGGCTGATTCCCAATTCAAATCGACGATTCCATATCTGAATAGCCGGGTTTCAAATATATATTCATTATGTGCAACAACTAAATGATGAAAACAAAGACAAAGGAAAGAACCTTCAATCGGTATCTCTCTTGAGTTGGGTCTAGAAAGTCTCTAGCAACTAGTTTGTTCGAATGTCACAACTATTAGTATAACATATAGTTATAGAGGCCCTTTGAATGATAATTAATACTGTCAAACTATTTGATTTGAAACTAATATACCCAGTTCAATATCATTTTATAAGTTGATTTGTACATATATTGTTATATATAATATTAAATAATTTATTTTTATTTTTAAAATTTTGTTGTTTTGTGTTATTTATGGCTAAAAACACGTGATATTTAGAAAATTATTTTAAATAAAATAAAAATAACTTTAAAGAAGATAAACTTATATGTAAAATTGCTTATAAGTTTTTCATATAATTTTATAAGAGACATTGTCAAAGAACAGATAATCTATTATCAAGATTCACTTTATTGAAAAAGTACTTCGTCAAAAAAATTCGACCTTTTTGTAATAGAACATTTTAAACCCTCTTCTTAGGTGGTTTTAAGGCTTAAGAGTACTTCAAAACTTGAATATCTTAGTCTTTTAAAATTCATATTGAAAAAATTCAAAGGTTTCTCTACATCAGCAACCCCATGTTTGAGGCCATAAAGAACTTTAAGTGAGAACTTTGGATTTTATAAATCCAAAGTAAGTGCAATTAAACAAAAAAAAAAGAAAAGAAATTAAAGAGCATGAATGTAAGATTTTTTTGATAGCCATAATATAAAGAGATATTTTCATAAATTTCTCTAAAAAAACACAAGCAACAAAAACATCCACATCGAACTCAAATATAAAAGGGAAATTTATCAAAGTATCCATAATTGATGAGTTATTTAACAGTTGAGCACACCTACTATCTCCCTTAGGAGCATAGTTTGCTTCTACTTTGGAGGTTTTTCCAATTTGAAATTTTGGGAACCATTTAAGAATCGGCAAAGGATTATCAAGATAAGTGATAGTACACTTTGCAAGGGCACTTAAAAGAATTTAATGCCATGATTAACAAGTTGATGTCACTAGATGTAAAAATTGACGAAGAAGATAAATAATTATGTTACTTTGTTCTATAATAGAATCACGACATGGATTGATCACAGTGTTTCAAAATACGCTAGGCGGCACCTAGGAGGTTGGGGGGATCCAAGTTGCCCAACGCCTAGGCGGGCACCCAGAACTTGGGCGGCCCAATAGAAAAAAAAAAAGGTTTTCTCTCTCTAAAATAGTCTATAATTAGTTTTAGGTTTCAAATGAACTTAAAACCCACAATTTTATCGCTTTACTATTAAAAAAAGACAAAAAAATACCCTCAAGGAGCTCTATTTCCGCCCCTAGGTGGGCCGCAGGCTTTATGCGGCTGCCTAGGCGGGTTCAGGCAAACGCCCAAGGACTTCCGCCTAGGCGCTGGGCAGTCTACTTTTTGAAACTATGATTGATCATGAATTTCAGTAGTGTAAAATTGCTTGAATTTGATTATGTTTTAGTACTTCTGACAAAGGAGTTTAGGCAAAAGTCTAGTTAGGATTCCTTTGGGAATGTGTTTATAGTACGGGGAAGATCAATGGAGAGAATTATAGGAAGAGATCAGTCAAGATCCAAATCAAGAATGCGTAAGAAAGTGAAGTGTTGGAGATGTGGAAAATTAGGTTATATGAAGAAAGATTGTAAGGGACAAAAAAGAGATCAAGAAGCCCCTAAATCTTATTCTATTGAGAAGCCTAGTTCAAGTGGATCTCAAGAAAATCTAGTTGAAGAAATTGAGCTTTATGAAAATGGGTAAGCTTTGTCTGTGGAGGAGGAAGTTTTGCAGTATTGGCTACTTGATTCAAGTGCATCATTTCACATGACTCCACATAAGAATTAGTTCTATAAATACAAACCATGTGATTGAGGTATTGTTTCATTGAAAAATAATGACTCATGTAAAATAGTAGGAGTTGGAGATGTGAGAATCAAGGTGCTGAATGGAGTCATATGTTCAATCCTAGGTGTCAGGCACGTTCAAGGTCTCAAAAAGAGTATCTTGTCTTTAGGAAAATTTGATAAGAAATATTTCAAATTTGCTGGTGAAAATAGATGTTTGAAAATTTGAAAAGGGGAACTAGTAGTTGCAAAAGGAGAGTTAGCAGACAATTTGTATAGACTTGTTGGTGAAAAGGTTTTGAGAGAGGCTGATATTGCAGAGTTGAACTCCATCATGACATTGCATGCACGTTTAGGTCAAATGAGCGAGCATAAACTCAAGTACTTATCGATAAACACATTCTCCCTGGTTTAAAATATTTTAATTTAGATTTTTACGAGTCATGATTATTTGAAAAACAGAACAAATTGCACTTTACTTTATCCACCACTAAAAGTAATGATATTCTAGAATTGATTCATTCAGAAAATTTAAGGTTTTGGTAGAAAATCAGAAAGGTAAGGACATCAAGTGTCTAAGAACTGATAATGAGGGGGAACTATCCTGGTGAATTTAATAATTTTTGTAGTGAGCATGGTATTGCTAGGAGGATGATAGATCCTAAAATACCTTATCAAACTGGTGTTGCTGATAAGATTAATCGTAACATTATAGAGTGTGTCAAGTGTATGTTGAGTGCTGTCCAGTAAGAGTCGTGTTCTGAGCACAAGCAGTTCATACAATTGGTTTCTTAATTATTAGGTCTCCCAGCTATGTTATTGGCTACAAGAACCAAAAGAGGTTTGGACAGGTAAACTTGTTGATTATTCTTTCCGTCGTGTTTTTTGGTGTGCTGCATATTCTTTTATTCTAAAGGAGAACATAACTAAGTTGAATACAAAATCCAAAAAATGTGTTTTTCTTTTCTTATGCTTGCCTAACAGAGGAGGGTGAATCAAGTTCATGTGAGGTCGATGAAGTCGGTCAATGGAGAGCATCCATGGAAGAAAAGATGGAAGCTATATAAAAAAATAAAACATAGGACCCCAGTTGAATTACCAGAGGAGAGAAAGACAATTGGTAGCAGGTGGGTCTTCAAGAAGAATAAAGTTTCTGATGATATTGTTGAAATGTATAGAGCTCTCGATTGGTTGTGAAAGACTGTGCTCAAATATCAGGTATTAATTTTGATGAGATTTTTTCTTTTGTTGTGTGCATGTCTACTATTAAAGTTGTTTTAGTAATGATTATTATTCTTGATTTTAGATGTGAAAATTGCATTTTTTCATGATGACTTAAAAGAAGAAATTTATATGACCAAACGTAAGAGTTTTGTTAAGGAAGGTAAAGATAATTCGTTTGTAGGCTCAAGAAATCATTATATGGGTTGAAACTGGCATCGCGATATTGGTACAAATGATTTGACACTTTCATATTGAGCTTGAATTTTTATAAATGTAAAGCTCACTATTATACATATTTTCGTGGATATAGTGATGGAAGCTTTATTATCTTGTTGTTATATATCAATGACATAATTATTGCAGAACCAAACAAAAAGAATATTGCAACACTTAAAGCTCTGTTGACTAGAGAATTTGAGATAAATGAATTGAGAGTTATTAATCGAATTCTTAGGATGCGTGTAATACAGACAGGAAAAACAAGAAAACCTGGTTAACTAGAAGAGTTATGTGGAGAGGGTTCTGTAGGGTTTCAATATGCAAAATGTCAAATAAGTTAGTACCTCATTCCTGTGCATATGAATTTTCCTTTAAAATAATATCCGAGCACCAAAGCAGAGAAGACACAGATGTCTCGAGTACCATATTTATCAGCAGTAAGGAGCATCATGTTTGTTATGGTTAGCATTGACATAGCACAACCAATGTGAGCAGATATAAGGTAAATCCTTGTCATTATCATTAGACCACTGTGAAGTGGATCCTTCGATATTTGAAGGAAATTTGCAATGCTGGTAGTTGTTGCAATGGAATGGATTTGAAAGTCACTGATTATGTTGATGCAGATTTTGCAGGTAAGTTGGATAAGAAAAGTCTACTACCAAATATGTTTTTTCTTTGGAAGGTGGTGCAGTTAGTTGGTTATCAAGGTTGCAGTATATGGTGACTTTGTATTCTACAGCGGCTGAATATATATTATTTACTTATGCATCCAAAGAAGCAATTTGCTTAAGCAGGTTACTTGGTGAATTCTTAGTTGGGCAAAAAATATATACCGCTTCATTACGATAACCGGAGTGGCTTGTTTCTAGCAAGGAATCCAATCTTCTATGAAGTGACTAAACATATTGATGTTCAATATCATATTATTTGTGATGTAGTACAAAATGAAAGAATTTTATAGCAAAAAATTCATATTGATGATAATTCAACGGATATATTAAATAAGCCGATTGGGAAGGGGAAGTTCACTTGGTGCAGGACTTCCTTAGAGTTTGTGGTTAATTTGATGATTAGTAACTGGTGGGCAACAATTTTTGGAACAGGCTAGTTAAAATAGAAACATGTCTTCAAGCAATAAAATGTTAATAACATGAAAGCATGTTTCCTATTTTTAGGAAACTTAATTTTTTTTTTTTATAACTACTTAAATTTTCTATATATATATCGTAATCCTATTTTGTGAGATTTGAAACCATGTAGATATGAGAAAGAGGGTTACAAGATACCCATGGGAAGTGGGAAACCTTTCTAAACTCCTAAAAGATAGGGAGAGAAGATGGGTCACGTGATTGCATATGAGTTTCTTCTTTAAAAAAGTCATGTTTTGTTGAGAGAGAAAACAATGCAAGGAAAAGTAAAGAGAAATGGTTAGTTTTTTTTAGTCATTGGGTTGTTGTTCTAGAGATAGAAAGACTATGCTGGAGAGAGCATGTAATCTCTTGTATTCTTCATTCTTGCATAATATTTTTCTAATTAGGGAAAGAGAACTTTGATGTCCTGTATATGTAGGGAACTTGTTAAAACACATAAATATTTGTCACTATCTTTTCTCTCTTTGTAATATTTTTCTTTCCTTTATGTTTTGAAAACCTTGGTTTTTATCCTCTATAATTTTTTCCCAAAAGTAGAGGCCCAAATGCTCACTTACTTATCTTTCTTTTTTCAAAAAATAAATAAAAATAAAAAATGACCATATTCCGTATGACCAAACAATTTCTAGCCATAAATATAAAGAAATTTATACAATGATACTATTTACTTTTGATACAAAGATGTGTCATTTATCATTGATTTGTGAGATTTGAGATTGGGTAGTTGAGGGTATATCACTGTCTGGTAACAAAGTCCAAAACAACATTTCTTGAGTATTACAATACAATTTCATCTATTGAATTTTACACTCAATAGTTGTGACCTCCTTGTATAAAAAATAAATGATCACACAGTATACAAACCCTAAACATAATCATGGTCCAACCAATGCGGTAGGGGGATGCCGAGGGGCTGGATGCCATTGTACCAAGCCACCTAGCCATGTTGGGTCTACTTTCTTTCATCACCATCTAAGAACTGATTGGACGGTGACGACACATAATCATGGATTTTACATCATCATACGGATTATAGTTAGGGAATGTATAGAATGACATCATTTATCTTTGATACAAGGTGGTCACATTAATCTCGACCATTGGTTGTGAAATTGGGTGGCTGCAATTATTCTATTGACCAAGTTCAAACTTCAAAACAAGTTGACTCGAATTTTGTGACACATCCAAGCTATCAAATTTCACATCAAAATTCTTTAAAGAATTATAACCACGTTGTACCAAAGGTAAATGGGCTTGTTGTATACAATCCCAATTAGTTTATATCATGATGGAGTTTACACCATCATAAAGATCATAGTTATATTATGCCAAATACAAGCACACTATGCAGCCTATAGCTTTCGAACCTACTAGACCATGGGGCGGTCTTCACCTCATTAGGACCAGACACTAATTTGGACTTTTTCTCTCTCTCTAGGACCGCAGACATTTTTGGTTCTTCTCTCTCTAGGGCGAGACCATATAGTTGGGCCACATTTTAGGATTCGAATCTTGACCACTATTTGAGCTTATCTCTCTAGGGCGAAAGCACAAGATTGACTGACTTCTTAGCTATCAAATTTTGATCCGAGTCCAATAGGAATTCAGAAATGGATGAAGTTTCAATAAGGCCTAAGCTTTGTAAAAAAAAAAAAAGCCTCATCTCAAATCCTCATCTAAAAAGCACTCTAGGCAACCAAAATCTTCATGATGGCTCTAAAATCAATTTTCAACACCGACATTGAAATTTGAAATTCATAAAATGGTACAAATCCTATGTATCTATATACTTATTTTTAGGACAAAATGGATGGTTTAGATAGTTTGTTAATATACACTATTTTTAGTACTTGAAATCCTTTTTTTTTTTTGACAACTGTAATGTTCAAGTTGAGATGATCTATGTAAAGATTTTCCAATGTTTGAATTGAAATTTTCGATGAGCTATATAGTGAAGCTTTACTTATTTTCATAGGGCAGCACTACTATCAAACCACTTTACTTTAGAAAAAAAGTATTCCAAGTGCAAATTATCTAGGGAAAACTATAGGAGAAACCATATATACCCCCAAATCGAACTTTCTAAATATTCTCTAGTATTTTTTATTTTTTATACCACACTAATGATTTGAGTTTATTTTTCACTACTCTGAACACACAAGGTGACTTTTTTGGACCAAAATATCTTCATTTTAATCTACATTTCCAACTCCAACTCTCTCTAACCTGGTTTGACCAAAAATGTGCCAAAACGACACAATTTCAATATAAATCGGTCTGACGTATTTTGTGCCAGACCAGTAGAATCTTAATATCTAAAGCTGGACTGACACATTTTGTGTAGGACCGGCACATTGTCAAAAGCCAATCTGACAAATTTTTGTGCCAAACCGTATCATTTTGAAGATAAAAACTTAATTCGACATATTTTTGTGCCTAACTGGCACAAATTGGGCAACAAACATATATTAAATTGGGGGGTATTTTTGTCCTAAAATACCCTAATTTATGATTTAGAGGGGTAGTTGCAGAAATAAAAAATTTTGGGGTTAGGTAGTGATTCACAAAGTAGGGTCAAGGGAGGCATCCATAATTTTTCCCAAAATTATAGGCACCCCCAAATTTTACTTTCTAGGAATCCCCATTATACAATTCCTACACAACATGTGTTAGACCAGCTTACGTTAAAATTGTGTTGGACTGGCATAGGCCTAGAAAGAGAAAACGCGAAACAAGGGTTAAAATGAGGGTATTATAGTCGAAAAAAAGTTACAATTTTTGTTTTAGGTGGGCGTTAAAAAAACAAAGTTGGGATTAATAGTGTGATATCAAAAGTAATTTTTTTAGGTTTGTTTTGTTTTTAGGAGGGGGGAGAGAGGAGGGGAGGGGGTTGGGAGGGATATCCTTAAAAATTCTAATTTGGTATATTTATCTAACTTAGGGATATCACTTAGGTATTTGATTTATTTTTATTGATATCCCTAGAAATTTGAATTTGGTGGGTAACTATAATTTTCCCAATTATCTAACATCTCATTTAGGTATTTGATTTTATTTTTATGAAAGTGACATGGAAAATATTTATAGAACACGTTAGGGACCTATTGTAAAAGATTGTTTTAGCTCCCAGTTGATCATTTCAACCCACATGTACCAATATAAAAAATTTAACTTCTAAAAATAGTATACCTGGTACATAATGTCTAGATTATCTAATTTTAAGAGTTTCAAGTATGTATAGATAAGCTCCATCTCACTATTCTTGAACCTTTAGATTTCATAGTGCTGCAGCCACAATATGAACGAATATAGGCATACATGACGTTGATTTGTTGCTCTTATTAATAAATCAAAGAAAATATTAAAAAGTTATATATCATTTATTTTCAAGAAAAACAACTCTTAATCACTCACAGCTGTAGCATGTAAAATAATTGAATTTGTAATCACCAAAAAACTTCAATGGTTTAGTTTTGAAAAATTAAAAAAATATATACAAAAAAAAAAGCTATTTATTTTAATACAAGGAGGTCACAACTATACTTATCCATCAAAATCAACATCTAATTACTATTAGCAATTGTGACCTCCTTATAGCAAAGATATATGGTCTCGTAGCACACAATCTCTCGAAAATTTGAACATAAATACCTGTAATTTTCTGGCTTTTCAGGCCATGAGTCGATGTAATCCTCTAATGGATGGCATGGATGCCTCACAAAATCTCTCCATAACTGAACCTTGCTTTTGTTAAAGTTAAAACTTGTGGAAACTCTAACTTCTGTTTTGGGGTCCTCGGAGTAAAGCTTTGCTCTGTTTTCAATGGGCATCTCAAAGAACTCTTTGGCAACATCCAGCATGCTTTGAATCACATCTTCTGGAACCCCATGGTTAATGATCTAGTCCAACACATTTAATAAAAAGAGCAACATTAACTAATTGTACAAGAGAGAGAGAACAAGCAGGCAGCTGAACCGGAAACGGAACCGAGACATGGCCGGATCCGGGTAACCTGGAACCAATCTGCGTAACCGGTCCTAACCAAGCAGATCTGGACCAGGCTAAAAAGGGTTAATCGGTTTTAGATAAACTCAAAGAAATATAAAGAAATACGAAAAAAATGTTTAACTTTTAATTAAAACAAAATACAAAAAATAGTGAAAAAAGGTAGGGGCATTTTAAACAGGAAAAAATTTATATACAGCCGAAGCTCTAAACAATCAAATTAGAGCACACCTCAAAAATTTCACTAGAAGAGGTTGTTTTGATGCTCAAATATAATCAAATTGATCATCTCGACTTCAAGATGCATAGACATCAAGAAAAAAAGATAGATTTCAAGTTTTAGAAATAGGGCAACTTATAATGTATTTTTGGACCGTCAATTTTATGGATTTCAAGATTTTGAAGAAAAAAGGGATGGATGAAGTTCATGAAAGTCAGACAGTTTGTTTTTTCCTATTAGACGAAAATTAAAATATATTTATGATAATTTTATTTTTTTCTTTGGCATACCTCACTTGACCACCCTAAACGGCCAAAACCGGACACAATCAGCTGCTGGTTCCAGGCAATCCGTACCTTTTTGTTATGGAAGAAATGAGAGAGGGAGAGAGATGACCTGAAAAAATCCATAGTCCTCAGAGGCTTTAGAGATCTGCCGGATAATATTTGATCGACCTAAACCATCAGAAACGCAACTGAGATCGATTATAGGAATGGATTCAGAAGGGGATTCATCGGAAGAGAACTTGGGTCGTTCTTCAAGTGGAAGGATGTACTTTTCTGTCAAATATTTGGAGTTGATACCATTGCTTATGAGTTTCTCTAATCCTTTAGCTACCTCTGCCATGGCCGCCGATGAGAGACAAAATCTGCCCACTGCCCACTTTTCACTGTGCAGGCTCCACTTTTGTGAGCCAACTCAGGAGTCCCACCGTCCATTTATCGAACAAGCATAATATTGTGTTCACAGCCTCCGTTGAAAAGGTCAAACACCTTTAATGGTTTACGCTTTAGACTGAAACATTCTCATCCACTAAAAATGAATTTTGTTTTTCCTTTAAAGATAATATTGATATTAGTATGAAATTTGGGTTTTAATTTCCAAATTTCATTTTCACATGTGGAAATGAATAAAACTAGTGAAAAATGACATGAATAAAACTAATGAAAAATATTATTCAAATGAATTTAAATGTAATTTTATTTTTATTTATAAAAAACAATTACAAAAATTTTTCAAAATGGACTTTTTACGCACTTCACTCTCCATCCAACTTTTCCAATTTCAACTACACGTACAAAAAGTCCTTTTTTTTTCTTACGAAAATGCCATTCCCTCAACAACAAATCATTTTTGGATCCCAATAAAAGAAAAAGCCATACCGCACTTGAACAATGCCGGACTGCTCACTTCAAAATGTCGGACTGCTACTTCAAAATGCCAGATTACCTTCAAAATGTCGGACCGCCATATCAAAATGCTGGATTGCCCCTTCAAAATGCTCCGCCATATCAAAATGCTGGATTGCCCCTTCAAAATGTTGGACCGGAACTTCAAAATAACGAACAGCCCATTCCATCAAAAATAATCACCGGACCGCCACTATGAAACACCGGACCGGCCATTCCAACAAAAATAATCACCGGACCGCCTGCTCCAATGAAAATAATTTGTTATGTGAGAGAATGGTATTTTTGTCCAAAAAAAATGAACTTTTGTATGGGGTATTTGATAGGAAAAATTAGATGATGTAAAGTGCGTAAAAAGTCCATTTTGAAGGGTTTGCAATTTTCCCTTATTTAAATATGCTTTTAATAATTTTTATTTAGTTATGTTTTTAAAAAACCTAAATCTCGAAATTCAGATAAATATTTTAAATCAAATAAAAAATAAAATATAAACTTAATTTTTAGCCAATAAAATAGCTTTGTGAAATCTAAATAAAAAAATATGAAATAAAATTTAAATTTAAATTTTCTCCCACCATTTTCCTATAGTGTGCATTCCCTTTGACCTTTTTTGCCCATAGATACGTATAGTGATATTATGCAAATGCGGCCAAAGTTTCCAAATAAGCCTAGATATATTGACAAGGAGGCTTTGTGTTGTCCACCATCGCCTCCTTGTTCTACTCATGTAATAAGGACAAAGATTTGGTGAGTTAGCGGACTCATCAAAACATGTGTCTCCTCATTTATGAGATGTCCATCTCTACTGTACCTCAAAATAAGTGATGACAAAGCATATTTAAAAAATATTATTTTTATTTTTTAAAATAAAAAAATTCAGTTCATAATCGTTGAGATTAACGAATCCAAAAATTTTAGATCCAAATTCCATGTTAAAGAATCTCAATCCAAAGATTTTAGATCCAAATTCCATGTCAAAGAGGAGAATTGAAGGGGGTTGCACATCTATAGGTGAGTCAACTGACTGACTAAATATACGTTTTTTTTAAGACTAATAAATAACAATTTTCATATTATCTTATAATTTTGATATGTTATTAGCAATTTTGCTTCTCTATAGTTGGGCAGAGGAATGAATTCATATAGCAACCTCCATCCAAGCAACAAAACTGAATCGCTTTTTTTATAGGTAGAGTCCTCAACCCCCTGAACAATCGATGCATTTTGATTGTTCTAGGTAATTTTTTTAAAAGCTAATTTTATTTTTATATTTATTTAGTTATTGGTAGGCTTTATATTTGTTTAAATAAATTATTCATCATAGCAATTATGTCTTGCCTTTTCAATTTTTTGTTGTTGGTTTTATCTAAAAATTATTTCTACTAAATATGAAATGATATATGGAAGAGCATTAGCATCATATTAATGAATATTACTTATTCATTAGAATATTTTTTACATATTGCCCCGTTCTTCATTTTATTCTAGGGAAAAAGAGAAAGAGAGAGATAGATGGGAAGCCTACAAATGATCCTTTGTAAAGAGAACATGCAAGACTAAGCCTACAAATCACCTTTTATATAGAGCAAATGCAGGGTCAATTGACCCAGTGATTTGAAAAAGGACACGGTTTTGGTGAGCTAGCTGACTCATCAAAATAGGTGTGACTCTTTATGGATTAGGCATCCATATTAAAGATGAATGTAAAAAAGATGCTTTCACTAGAAATGAAGGGTGGAAAAATATATTAAAAACCATAATTTTTTATTTTAAAAAATAAAATATTCTATATAGGTAAAACCACTGTAGTTGAGATTAACAAATCTCAAATCTTTGAGATGGACTTTTGTAAGGGGGTTTGCAAGGTTATCATGAACTTGTAGCTTGTGGAACCAAGAATCTCAAATACCATGATCTCACTCAAGATCATGTACATAGATGGCTAAATGCGAAGTAGGCGAATACAACTATAAATTGAGTGTAAGAAATAAAACAAACATAAGAAGACAAAGCAACACAACACATGATTTATGTGGTTCATCTCATAAAGTTACATGCACGGTTTTGGCCAGGAGAAATCGACTATTACAATGAAGATTATAGTTTTGGGTTACAAAAGATATACCTATCTCTAAAGGAAAACTCTTCCCAACGCCTATAGGCAAAAATGAACAATGATTTCGCCTACCCTCATCACCATCAAAACTTCATCGTACGGTCACAGTTGTCCAGTTATATTCAATTTTCATTTTTTTGTCTACAAATCCAAATTACTTGAAATTTGAAGTGTGTATACATCTTAGTGAGGTGCACCTAATAAAAATATGAAAAACTAAATTCATATTGTGCAAATTATTTTTTTCATATTTTAATTAGGTGCACCTCACTAAAATGTACACACGTTCTAAATTTCTGGTCATTCCAATTAGTTAAGAAAAAATGAAAAATGAAATATTATCGGACAACTGTGACCTTGTTATGAAGTTTGGATGGTGATGAGAGTAGGTGAATCACTGTTCATTTTCACTTATAGGCATTTTGTAGTATCTTCCATCTTAAATATCAGTAAGAACCTTACCGATCTTCCCTTCTAAACATACTCTCCTGACCAAATATCACCGATGATTAATATCTTCTTTTTGCATCGCTACACTGCTACCAAAAAGAGCAACTTGAGAGCAATCGAGAGACTTTCTCTCTAGAAATGGAAACCTTAACAATCCAAACTCATGAGAATACAATCTCTCCCTCAGAGGCTATATATATATATATCTCCCTCTCGGAGAACCATCTCTATATTGGAGATTCCTTTCCATAACTACAAAGAGGTGACCTACAAAAGGATAAGTATTATTTCTTCCTTTGGCCCTCTTTTATAGAGATCACTTGGGCTTTTTTTTATTCCCCAAGAAAGCCCCCGTTTTCTTTTCTCATAATACTCTCAATTTTTCGAATAAAATATAGGTGTAGTGACTTTGAAGATCAACAAATCTAACAAGCTCCAACTAGATCGCGAAATCACCAAATTCATCTTGCCAACTTTCATTGAATAGATTTCTTGATTTCTTCTCACTTGCTTCCATTGTGGAATTTTCTAAAACACTTTGCATCCGAATTTCTCCACCTCAAATCATATATCCATCAAACTTCGTTATTCATATTTTTTTTAATATAAGCCTTAGCCTAGTACACACCTTGTGCTCTGATACCTTGTAAGGTTATCGAGAACCCCTAGCTTGCGGACCCAAGAATCTCAAGTACCGGGATCCTACCCAAGATAATGTACATAGATGCCCAAAACTAACAGGGCTGCATATCTACAGGTGAGTCGGCTGAGTCACCAAACACTTTTCCTTTAAAGAATGCCAATCCGGATTGAATCGATAGATCAGATTAAAAATTGTTGAGACACTCCGCCGGATTCACACTATTTTTTTCTTAAATTGGGACTATTTTTTCTTTTAAAGTTCTTTATTTTTAACACACCACTCATCACAAGATGGTCAATTAAGCTTTAAGTCACCTACTTGAGAGGGCATTTATACCTTGCATCCTATTACCTTTCATTATTCCCTCACGTTGGACTAACTCTGGGAGGAGTGTGCATCCCATGAACGTCCATTATTCCCTACCATTAAAATACGGCCCTTTTGTCCAAATGATGGTAGAGGAGTATGCATATCAGGAGCAGTTGTGGTGTCAAAGCTTAGTTGCAAAGTATGGGAACGATAGGCATGACCTTTGGATAGATCAAGGTAGATGTAATTCTCAGATCTCCTTTTTGTGAGATGAGTGCCTGGTAAGGGAAATGAGACTTCCTTTTGGCATTTTAAATAGCTCGGAGATAGGCCATTGAAATTGTCTTTCGTGGAGATATTTAAAAGGTTGGCAGCCCCTCAAGCTAAGGTTTCATAGATGGTTGAGATTAGGGGAGATCAAGTATCATGGAACATCAATTTTCTGTATAATAGAATTCCTTGTCGAATTTTTATCAATTTCTCTCCCTGATGCAAATTTTGGATACGATTTATGTTTCAGTGCATCAGGCAAATGAGGTAGTTTGGAAACTTGAGAATGATGGCTTGTACTCAGTGAAATTTGTTTATAGTCTTATGTTCAACGATCGGTGGAGGTGGACAGAACGCAGTCTTTCGACAATATGGCGATGGCCTATTCCACATAAAGTTCAAGCTTTTATTTGGCTAGATGTGCAATCAAGATGAGAAAGGTGCTACTAAATGTTTGTCTTATGTGCAAAAATGATAGGGAGTCGATGTCTCATTCATTTCATCATTGCCAGTTTGTCTCAAATATTTGGAATGATGCTTCCATATGATGGGAATGCTTGGGTGATGCATTCTAATGTTTTAGGCATTCTTAGTTTTCATTTGTGCATATTCCTAAGGTGGGCAAATCAATTTGGATGATTTTAACAGGAGTTATACTTTAGGAAATATGGAAGTAAAAAAAATCAGTGAACCTTTGAGGGAGTTCCACTACCTTTGGAATTATGAATAATATTCTTCATACTTCTACGAGCTATTTTTTTCATTATGAAAGAAGGATGGGA